GATGAAGGCAGTGAGGTGAGGCACTGCTGCCTATGCCCAGGCTGCCCGAGCTCATGGCCGCTGCTGCCCTCCAGGCTCTTGGTGCCAGCAAGGAAGGTGCTGAGATTCAGAGTGCAAGAAAGCCCCAGCACTTCCTGAGCAAGCCCAAGCACTGCAGACTGTGAGCAAGAAGCCCAGCACCCCAGACTGCAAGCTTAGACCCCTGCTCAGAGTGTCCAAGAATCCTCAGAGAGCACAGGCCCTGCACGCAGCAGTGGCTCCAATCTGCCACGCTGGGCCCCACCAGGCCCCTTTCACTGCAGGGCCTCCACACAGGCTCAGGGCTTGTGCGTGCAGGGCACCTGGGTGACTTTCCACATTTCCTTGCTTCCTTCTCCATGGACGGCCACTATCTGTCTCAGCAAATATCACCTGGTTCTTCCACTAAGAACTAAACAATTTCAGGGCAAACAAAGGAGCTCTGGGACAGCTTAAGCATTTTGTAGTTCTCCCTCCAGGAAGAATTTTGTACATTCTCTGAGAGATATTAATATTCTGAATAATTCAAGTGAATTTTATTTTATTTTATTTTATTTTATTTTTTTGTCTTTTGGTGACAGGGTCTCACTACGCTGTTCAGGCTGGTCTTGAGCTCACTTTGTAGCTGAGGCTGGCCTTGAACTTGAAAGAATCCTACTCCCTAAGCCTCCTGAATGATGTGATTACAAGTGTGCACCACCACGCCCGGCTTAAAGTGAATTTTAATACATGGGTCCTCCTTTAGTGGTTTTCTATGCATTTTCTTAAGCAACTGGAAAATCAACCTAGAGTCTTGCACTGAGCTCCATTCCCACCCATTTTATTGTTCTCTGTGAGACTGAGTTGCACTAAATTGCTCAGCTTGGTCCTGAACTTGCCATCTTCCTGGCTCAGGACTCACACAGCTAGGATTACAAGATTAGGCCATTGTGCCCTTACAGTCCAAAGGCAATTTCATCTTTATCCATCCATGCCAGAAAGCAAAAAGCAACGATGATTGTCCAAAGTGCATACAGAAAGTTTTAGCAAGAATGTAGTACCACTTTAGAAAAGATAGAATTGTGACTTGGTCACCCTCTGATAAGTATCCGTACTCTTCCTCCTGACAGACACCCTGGGCGTTTCCTTAGTCATTGAATTTATTATGCTGTACGGAGGTCTGTGCACTTATGAGACACTGTTTTCTATAAGGGGCCCCATGTCTAGTCACCTCCATACATATTCTAACGGAGGTGGAGAGTTTGGCTGCTGTGCCCTCACTGGGACACTGTTTGAAAACCACAGCGCCATTTTTGCTTTGTTTTTGTGTTCTATTTCTTTTCTTTTCTTTTCTTTCTTTTCAGAAGCAAGTTTTTTGGGGGGGGAGTTGCTGGGAATCGAACTCAAGACCTCATGCTTGCCAGGCAGGCACTCTGCCACTGAGCTCTGTCCCTAGTCCTCTTCTTTGCTTTTATTCCTTTCCTTGCATTTGCTTTGCTTTTGTTTGTTTTCATTCTTTCTTCCTCCCTCACTCTGTCTCTCTCTCTTTTTTCCCTCCTTTCGTTCCTTTTTACTTTTTCTTTTTTAAGGTCTTTTACTGTTCCATTTTAGTCATGTAGGTGAGTCCAGTCTGTAGTTTCAAGTGCCCTTTGATTGTCCTTATACCTCCCCAGTTTTTGTGAGCACTGTCTCTCCTGTGAGGTGAAACATATTCAGTCTCTGACCAAAACATTCAGACTGGCAGTTTTTTGCCCCAGGTTTCTCCAAAATTATTTCTAGGCCTCCATCACTGTCCTTAAAGAAAAGCTCTCTTCCCCTGAGAGGGCCAGAGCCAAAGTACAACTGGGAGTGAACAAGGGACAAAAGCTTCACTCCTCTGGATCTTGGGGACTGCATCTGATTTGCCCATGAACATTGTCAGGAATCCTTGCACGGCTCTAGCTCCAAATCCCTCAAATAGTATTTTTGTACTCATTGACCTTTCCTGCCACCAAGAAAGCAAAAGTTTGTGATCTCTAAGATTCTGTATCCCTGACCAGCCCCAGCCCAACTGCCAACTGTGCAGAATGCCAGGTACTTAATGAACTTGGGACAGTTATGCTTCACTGTTCATGGCCTTCCTACTTGCACAGGGCTACTAGGGTCCAAATGTAGTGCTATGCACTTGCTGAGAACTCACTACTGTGTCCTCTCCCCAACAGAAGCAGGGAAGGCTGCATGCACAGTGAGGGCTCCTGGATAGGAGCAACAGTGGGCAGGGATTAACTTTTCGCCAGTGGAGTCTTTGGCACAAGCATGGAGCAGGTAGACTTGCTCAGGCGGCTCCTTGGGATCCGTGCACAGAGATTCTGAGCACTCAGAGAGCCACAAAACTCTGGGGGTGCTTCAGGGAGCAGGACAGGCTCTGCTTTCAGCCTTGCTGGGGAAATCGGGGGGCAGCAGCTCCCAGGGTTCAGGCAGTCGAATTCAGAGCCCTTCCTGTGTCCAGACAGTGCAGCAGGGAGGGTAGGACGGGAACAGTCTCCCAGGCTTCCCACAAGGGGTCCCGTGTCAGTGTGAGTTCTCAACCCTACCCCTCCCCTCACTTCCCCTTCCCCATCAGCATGCACGCCACCCTAGTCTCTCTGTCAATTATATCTGGGGTCCGGAGGCACAGTCCTCTAACAGAAGGGCAAGTTCAGACGGAGTTCTGCCCATGCCCAGTACGGATAACTTGCTTCTCGCAGGCAAGCTGCTTTTCTGGCCCCGCCCCCTCACTTTTGCGAGTCTACAACCCCTTGCCCCGCACCAGGCTGCAGGCAGACAGCCAATAGCAGCCATGGGGGCGGGTCTGGTGGACTTCACCCTGCCCAATAGGGTGTAGGATGTGTGCAACCAGTTGAGACTCCAGCTCCTC